GTAACTCTTATCAGAGTTCTGTCCAAAGCAATTTCTGTGGCAGTTGTATACAAAAGCATAATTAGAGAGGCATGACTAGTCATTCTCACCACTCTATTGTCCTGGTCTGTTAATTAATTGTTGGTCTTGTTTTCTGAAGTCAGGAGTAGAGAATTTTCCCTAGCCTTGATTGGATCAAGCCCTGTGACTGCTTTACAGGATAGGTGAGGGATGAGGCAGTGACTACTTCATCTCTTTCTTTTGCCATCCCAGGAGCAAGACACTCTGGCAGATGCTGAGGAGCGATGCGACTTGTTGATTAAATCCAAGATTCAGCTGGAGGCCAAAGTCAAAGAGCTGACAGAGCGAGTTGAGGATGAGGAAGAGATGAATTCTGAGCTGACATCCAAGAAGAGAAAATTGGAAGACGAGTGCTCTGAGCTCAAGAAGGATATTGATGATCTTGAAATAACACTTGCAAAAGTAGAGAAAGAGAAGCATGCTACTGAAAATAAGGTACCTGTTGAGCTTTGCTATATATTCAAAAGAGGTCAGGCAAGGATTATCTCTATGACAAGATCTACTGGTCTTCTTGACAGCTTTATACTCTGTAACATAGGCCACAGGGATCAGTATACACATTTGAATTTATGAGGGAAAATCTGTTAGTGTAAGTCTGAGTTTCTCTTTTTCTGAAATGAGTTTTGCTGCAACTCTTCTAAAGAATTATGTCTAGGTTTGGCATTCTTAAGTAAACACTTTTCTGCTGTAACCTTGAGTTCTTCCAGCTCTTTTTCTGGGGACGTCCTATTTTTCCCAGAGAGAATCAAGAGCTATAATCCACCACAGAAAGAGTAGCACTGGGGAAAAAAAATAAAATAAAATTCAATGCTTTTGATATAGAAAAGTCTGCAACAAGAACTGGCACATACTGGCTCTTTTGCTGACAGTTTCACAGAAATTGCCACAAAGGGTGAAGGGAAAGACATCCCTTTCTTTTCAATGTCTTCTTCCATACAAATTCACTGAGAACATTCATTTGAACCAAGTTACGGTAATCCCTTTCTTCAGAATCCTACAAATACACCTCCTTCATCCTCCACATAGGTGAAAAATCTGACAGAAGAAATGGCGGCTCTTGATGAGAACATCAGCAAACTTACTAAGGAGAAGAAGTCCTTGCAGGAAGCTCATCAGCAAGTTCTGGATGATCTTCAAGCAGAGGAAGACAAGGTCAACACACTGAGCAAAGCTAAAGTGAAACTGGAACAGCAAGTGGATGATGTAAACTGGCTTGGCCTTCATTTTTCTGCATGTTTGTTTGTCCAACACTAACAGTTTTCATGAGTCTGAAATGTCATAAAGCTTTGTCCTTTCAGAATCAATCACGTATTTGTTGAATTGTCTGTAAAAAGTAAAATGACAGCAACAACGTGAATCTTATCTGCATGCTCAAGCCTCTGACAGGAATGTAATAAAAAAGGGAGAATCTACTGTGTTTGCATTTGCAATGTAACTTGACATGGAAATAGAACTTTGCTACAAAGAGAACTGCAATGCTTGCTCAGACATAAAGCAGGGACTAGTCCTTATATTTCTTTAGCTCATATGTCTATTGGCTGCACAAGATTATATGCTTACAGTTATGTACTTCATCACTTGCTAGGGCTCAGCATGAAGATGGGCTTAGTATGCAACTGACTGTTATAAACAATCTGTGTTGAATATATTTAATGAGTGACTTTGTACCTAAAGCTTGAGGGCTCACTTGAACAAGAGAAGAAAGTGAGGATGGATCTAGAGAGGGCAAAACGCAAACTGGAAGGAGATTTGAAGCTGACCCAAGAGAGTGTCATGGACTTGGAGAATGATAAGTTGCAAATGGAGGAAAAGCTGAAAAAGTAAGAAATTTCTTCTGTTATAACTAAGTAAAGCAACACAGTTACCACTGCCTGATTTATTAAGGTGTGTCATTGTGGCCTGATGGCTTAAAGGAAATTTCATCACAGATGAGAGAGTGATGGAGGGGAAAATCACTGTTACTTGTTTGCAGTATACCTGAAACATTAGAATTGATTAGACTTATCAGCATTAAATATATATATAGTTTGTTTTTATTGCTTAGAGGAGAAAGGAATCTTCTAAGAAGTCATTCCTCCTAATTATAAGAGTATTGTTGAAAGACCTAACTCCATTAAGCATATTTTTCCTTCGAGTATGAAAATAACATTACTCTGTATGGCATAAGGAACAAAAAATGTAATTGCACAAATATTTGAAGTCTTGACTTGGAAACGACTGCTAAGACAGTTATGTATTTTCTTCCATATGGAGGAATTGTTTGGAAAACAAGCATTGTTTTCATTTTTAGATACATTAGGAGTTTTGTTGAACAGCTCTTTAAAAATTGCATGAGCCTAGCTTTGAACTGTGGAGAAAACTGTCACAGTGGGATTTTTCTTTCCTTGGCAGGAAAGAGTTTGAAATAAGCCAACTGAATTCCAAGATAGAAGATGAACAAGCTATTGTAATGCAGCTGCAGAAGAAGATTAAGGAGCTTCAGGTTAGCTTGCTTCTTTCTCCTTTTTCTTAGGATGAGCTTCCCAAGGCTGGATATGTTTTTGGGCAGCCTTTTCTAGGGAAGGCGTACCTGTCCATTACAGAGAGGTTGGAACTGGATGGTCCTTTAGGTTCATTCCAATTCAAGCCACCATATGATTATCTGCCTTACTGAAGGGCTTTGCAGAGATTTTCACAGCTAACTGCCACTCAGCTTTGAGACCCAAAGTAGTGCAACTCCAATCCCTTTTCCCTCAAGGAACTGATTCCTCTAGATGTATGACTGCAGAATGCTAGTAGTTTCAGGAAAGGCAGAAAGGCTTCACTGTTTTCTTTTAAGCTTGGAACCATGGAGCTGAGGATGGCTGTGGTTGCCAGGGAAAAGTTCAGCAATAAATAGGAATGAATTTGAAATTTAGGGTAGGAGCTCAAATGCACATGAAATTTTTGACAGAAATTAAAAGACCAAAGTCAGCCAGCACAGTCCAAACAAAATATCAACTCTGATTTTTCCATAAAGAACATTTGAATAACTTGAATGCAGAGTGTTGGGTTGGCAGAGAATTTCACTGTAACATGCTTCAAGGTTTTCTGGTGGGAATCATCTGAAGGTGACCCCACGGTTCTCCTTTCTCTTTGTTAGGCTCGTATAGAAGAGTTAGAAGAGGAGCTGGAAGCAGAAAGAGCTGCTCGAGCCAAGGTGGAAAAGCAGAGATCAGATTTGGCCCGAGAGCTGGAGGAATTAAGCGAGCGGCTTGAAGAGGCTGGAGGTGCCACTGCTGCCCAGCTGGAGATGAACAAGAAACGTGAAGCTGAATTCCTGAAGCTGCGGCGTGACCTCGAGGAGGCCACACTGCACTATGAAGCCACAGCTGCTGCTCTGAGGAAGAAGCACGCAGACAGCGTGGCTGAGATGGGGGAGCAGCTGGACAACCTGCAGCGCGTCAAGCAGAAACTGGAAAAGGAGAAAAGCGAGCTGAAAATGGAAGTGGATGATCTGACATCCAACATGGAGCAAACGGTTAAGGGAAAAGTAAGGGTCTTGAGACTTCCCATACCCCTGAGTGGTCTTGTGTAGCCAAGGTTTGTCTGAAGGCTTCCCAGGACAGCTGGTAGGGCTGGCACTTTTCAGAAAGTTGTGTCTTGCGATCTGGTGAGCTTGTGAGTGCAGTATCACTCCTTCCCCAGCTGGTGGTATAGCCCTTCTCATTTGGAGACAGGATAGCCATTGAAATGGCCTATGTCAGATGTAGTACATCCTCAGTCCCAGACATCTGGTTATTCATACATCTCAGAGCACTAAACCATGCTGCTTAGTGGTCCCCTAGGCTGATGATGACTGCAGTGATACCATACAAGGCTGTACAGCTCAGATGCTGATCTTGGCCCACAGTTTTGACTCACGTTAGCAAGGAATGTAAAACAAAGGCTTGCATGACCATTCTGTTCGTTTTCAGTTCCAATGGCTGAATTATGTATTTTGCTTCCTCAGTCATGGCAGCTTTCAGAGCGCTCTAAAGAGTCTGCTCTGTGAAACTGAAGACAGGATTTCAGTATTCTTAGTACAAGAAGGCTGACATCAGACTCAATTTATGATAAATAGCAATTACAACGGAATCAGTAAAGCAATTTTCACTGGAGATGATTTTCCTATCAAACAATTGTGATGAAGCTTATGTCTGAACGTCATAGGCATATGATTGGTTCTGAAGATCTTGCAGAGACTTTGTCTCTGGTGCTTCACTTCAGAACACAGTTAAGGAAAAGGAAATGAGGAAGGTGTTCTGATGAGGAGACTCCTGCCTGGGACCACAGACACAGGGTTTCTATTCTCCATTTTACTGCTGTCCTCCAAAGTGACATGGCAGATTTCTTCTCACAGTTCCAGTGTCCTTGCCTTCAAAACAGTGACAATGTGCACGCACACACATAGCCCTGATGAGTGGGATTATTTCTTCTTGATTACTTTTAAAACTGAGCCAAATCTCAAATACTTTATTTGTGTTCCAGGCACTCAGTGTTCCTGTAAGGCGCATTTCACTGTTGTTCTATTTGGTGGAAAACAAAGAAGTAGTATTTGCCAGGTCAAACTGCTCTTTAAAACAGGATACCAACCAAACATGATACAAGAGCTCTTGCTGTAAAGCTTATGAAGATCAGGCCTTACCCTCTCATTCATTACAAGCTGGTGGTAGAAGAAATATTTGTGTCTTTGTTGTCTGCTGTTTATTTGAAAGGGGCACACACAAAACAGATGTATTTCAAAGGCTACAGCTTCCAAATGGCTACTTGGAGGCTGCAGCTTTGTATGTCTGATTCCCATTTAGGCAAATGCAGAAAAACTTTGTCGCACTTATGAAGATCATCTGAATGAGACAAAAACTAAACTGGATGAAATGACTCGCCTCATGAATGACCTCACTACTCAGAAGGCAAAACTCCAGAGTGAAAATGGTATGTGTAGTAAATGAGTGTTCAGTCCAAGTAAGCTACTGGTAAGCAGAATGTCAAGTGGCTACATCAAAGAGAAGTGCTGTGCAGTGACATTAGTACTGAATGTGACTGGATCTGGTTTGCTGAATAGAGCTGTAGCTTTGCATCTTCCAATTTTCCTGTCTTCAGTATTCTTCTAACATTGGCTGGAGAGACCCTGCTTTGAACTGTCTTTTCAAACTCATCTATAATTATATCTACCAGCATGCTGTGCTACTGCCTCATGAGCTGAAGTGGATGTGCTGGCTAAGTACCACTTTCGCAAACAACAACACATATATTGCAGAGCTACAGGGAAGATGAGGGAGTTGGCATACTTTTGTTGTCTGTGTGAATACACCTTCCTCAGCATGGCCTCAGGCACTGCACTCCAGAGGTTGCTCACATCCAACAAAAAAAGTACATGCTACATTTTTTTGCCACAGAACTCTTATCGCTGCATACCCATCAGATGCCACTGTTCTGCCAGATAAACTTCCTGTGCATTTTTAAAAACATTTCATTTCCTGTCTATTTTCATGTTATTTCTCTGTACTCTTGAAGGGCTCCAGTTTCTGCCCCATAATGATGTCCTTGTGATAAGTAAAGTTTTCCTTATATATCCCTCTGTTTTGCATGCTGACAGTTGTGAGGTTATTATAGTACTTTGGATTCCTCTGAAAAGAAATCTGTAAAGACAAAGTAGTGAAGAAAACAAAACCAGCTACAATTTCATGTGAAAGCAAGCATCAGTCTAGCCTGATTCATGAAACTGTCTGAAGTTCATGAATCCAAGTAATGACAGTACAAATATGAGTAATCAGGAAAAAAAAAAAAAAGAAAAAAAAAAGAAAATTATCCTGCTTAAGTGTCTTGATGGCTACAAGTTTGGAAGATGCCTCACAAAAGGCCAGCCATAATCATGTTTGTTCTTTCCCTCAGTAGAATTGTATAAGTTGGACTTTGATTTTTGGCTCTGGCTGCAAGTGTGTCACTTCCTCTTAAATCCTGTGACAGGTGAATTTGTAAGACAGCTTGAAGAGAAGGAGTCACTGATAAGTCAGCTGTCCCGAGGAAAAACATCATTTACACAGCAAATTGAAGAACTCAGGAGACAGCTAGAAGAGGAAACCAAGGTAATGCTTTGACTGTGTCCCATTCATTGAAATGGAATAGGAGAAACTACTCATGTTCGTGTATCATCCTGGATAAAAACTGAAATGAGGTATAGGAGTGAGAACACTGCCTGCTAACAGAACAGTATTAATTCCTGCCCTGACAGCAGCAAGTCAAAGGGGAATAGTTTTGAAAAATAAGTGGTGTTCATAATTGCTAAATAAAACTGACCTAATAGTATATGCAAAATCCCAGATCTTGCATCTTATAAACCGAAATGTTTCTCCAAAGGTATCAGAATATCTTCAGTTTTGGTGGTTTGCTCAGCATGTTACCTGTTGGGATGATTTTTTGCCTGACTTGTTCAGGCCTGACAAGGCCAGCAAAAAAAAACAAAGACTTGACCCTTCATTTGAATTTCTAGGGCATGTTTGTTTAGGTTATCCTGTAGGTAACCTTGCAATGTTGTGACCTTTCTGTCCCTACAGTCCAAAAACGCCCTGGCTCATGCCTTGCAAGCAGCCAGGCATGACTGTGATCTCTTGCGAGAACAGTACGAAGAGGAGCAAGAAGCCAAGGCAGAGCTGCAGCGGGCTCTCTCCAAGGGAAATGCAGAAGTGGCGCAGTGGAGAACGAAGTATGAGACTGATGCCATTCAGAGGACTGAGGAACTGGAAGATGCCAAGTAAGTGGCTTACATGGGCTTCATCTGGCACTCAGCTGAGAGGACTGTAGCCTCTGTCTCTGAGCATCTCCAGTCTGCAGAATCTTCCCTCACTTCCAGTACATTTTGTCCATCTAGGATTTTCACTGTGATCTTTTTCGGGTTCCTCCTTTCTTTCCAGGACCTCTTCTTTTTGCTGAGACTACTAGGCCGTGGCTTTCCCCATCTAAATAGCCTATGACCAAAAACCCAAGGCATGATCAGCCTCCTAATCAGAAGCTACGTCTCTTAAATGGAAATTTCAGTATATAGCACTTTAATTTTACTAGCTTTTATCAAAATTCACAACCAGCCCATAGTGGTCACAGTTAGAAATCATGGCAGGCTTCTTACTGAGAAGTCAAAAGTTCAGTTTCAAACATTCACGCACATGCACAAAATTATCTGCCACTTGTAGCATTCACAATTTAAGCTATTTTTTGTCTACGAAAGTCCCTTCTCTCTAGAGGCTTGATTTTTATTTATTTTTCCTTTCCTTTCCCCCTCCATTTTCCCTTTGGAAATCAAATTATTGAGATATTGCTTTGGTGTCAGCTTTTCTGGATAGACAGCAGTCATTGCCCTCACTCATTTTGCTGTTTCTTCCCATCTGGCAGGAAAAAGCTTGCTGCCCGCCTGCAAGAAGCCGAAGAAGCAATTGAAGCTGCCAACGCCAAGTGCTCTTCTCTGGAAAAGACAAAGCACAGGCTGCAGAATGAACTGGAAGATATGATGATTGATCTAGAAAAGGCCAACTCAGCAGCTGCCTCCCTGGACAAGAAACAGCGTGGTTTCGACAAAATCATCAATGACTGGAAGCAGAAGTATGAAGAATCACAGGCTGAGCTGGAAGCTTCCCAGAAGGAGGCCCGCAGCCTCAGCACAGAGCTCTTCAAGCTGAAGAATGCCTATGAAGAAACACTGGACCATCTGGAGACTCTGAAACGGGAAAACAAGAATCTCCAAGGTAGGCTTCATTCAGGACTCCATGGCTGGTGCGAGAACACTGCACTGGGATCAGCTGTAGGGAAAGGCATTTCTCTTATTCTTAATTAAGAACTTTCAGGTGTGCCTGGAGACTCTGATATTGGAAATAAAAGTTTTAAGCATTGAAAATGGTTTTGCCAGAGGACTGACTAGATCTGTGTAATCTAGTGTTGCCTACAGTTTTATTTGAAACAAGAATTCTTATTGCAAGGGAGAAGGAAGACCCTTAAGTGTCAGTGTAGCCTTTTACTAGCAGTACAATCCTTGCTTGTTACATCCAATGGAGTAATTCACGTTGTTGAAAGCAAATTTCTAATCATGGCCACTGCCTTTTCCTCCTCCTGCCAGGGGCAGGGGAAGTGAACTCACTGCTTGCAGGGGTGTCAGCCTCAGAGAAGGAACAAGAAAGGTGGCAAAGATGCAACAGGTGAGGCCTACATAGCCCCCAAAGTAGGACACCATGTTGCTAGCCTGCAGATTACAGATAAAAACTAAACTGCTTCAAAAGTGTTTATGAGAAAGTCTGTGCCCTCAAGTTCATCAGGTAAAAGCAGTTGCTGTACAAGTAGGGTGTACACAAGCTGTCTTGCATACAGATGAGCACTTGAGGTGCCAGAGGCAAGGATCCTATATTCTCATTCTGTGTATGTTTGGAATACTCAAATTGACACTAAATCCCTCTGACCTTTTTTTTTTTGTTTGTTTAAGAGGAAATTTCTGATCTGACCAATCAGATCAGTGAAGGAAACAAGAACCTCCATGAGATAGAAAAAGTCAAGAAGCAGGTAGAACAAGAAAAGTCAGAGGTTCAGCTGGCTCTGGAAGAAGCAGAGGTAAGGAGAGAGAACTCAATGGGTTGAGAAATTATTTCTTTATCATGAATTTCCCTCCTTTTTGATCCTCTCAGCTACACTGCAAATGTGCTAGTAGTAAGTGGAACTGCCCTGCAATCAGCTCCCCTGAGCTTCCTAGCCAGCCATGGGTTTCAAGAGAGACTGGCATCTTTTGGAGATCTCAGCTCTGAGATCACCAAACAGAGGCTGCTTCAAAGGAGGTGTCTTGTAGGGGTTGTTATTGTTCCCTTTTTTTTTCTTTTTTCTTTTTTTTTTCTTTCTGGAAGCACAAAAATCCTCTGCTCACTTTCTGAAAAACCAGCATGAGAGCGTTCCAGTCTTTCAGGAAATTTGGGAATTATGGTTTTACAATTTTTTATCAGATATCTCTAGTGTCTAGTTTCCATCAGCAAATTCACCATTTCCTATCATAGAGCATAAGAAAACAAACCTCCAGATGACATTAAATCCTACGAGGTTTTAAATATTGCTTTAGATGATGCACTTCACTTTAAAAAAAATAGTGGTCCCAAGCTTGGAAACAAGACAAAAACAGGCCATCCAGAAAATCTTTTACTCCCATAAGAGTTTGGTAAAGACACTTAACATCACTGTTTCTTTTTATAGTGACAGGTATGCACGTATCCAATGGGGATGGCCTATCACAGTTTACAGAAACAAACCAACAACGCAGAACAGACTGAGTGGAGATTCTGATTATTTCCAGGGTTTTCTGGAAGCTTGGTGCATTGCAGAGCTAGGAAGGGGGTGTCGGTGTTGCTGGCTAGAAGCAACACAGCAAGGGATTGTAGGGGAGGGCTGTGTTTCATTTGAATTGTTCTCTTTTCACAGCATCTGTTGAAGTGAGCATCATGCAGCAACAGGGATCCGTTAATGCCTTAAATGCTGTGCAACTTCTTTTGTCTATTACAGGATGCTTTACGGATTGCAGGGATTTCACAGCCAAACAAACAGGTCTCACAATCAGAGCAGAGGAAATGGCATGTCTGTCTCCCCCAGCTCTGAGATGTGAAGGGTGATTACATGTTCTGTCACTGAGTTTCTCTCACAGGAAAGAATACATCAGTTCTGAGGGATCCAAGGGGCACGCTTTACTTTCATGAACTGTGTGAAATGGTTTCCTGAATCTCTGAAATTGGCAGCTAACTGAAGTAAAGCGATGATGTATCTTCATTGTGATAGAAATGTCTTAGTGCAGACTTTCTCCCTCCCTTGTCATTTGGGTTTCTGGTCATGGTCATTGGTGCTTCTGTGTGCTGTTCCCAGTAACACAGAGTGGCTTCTTGGCATGAAGTGGCATGAAAAGTGACCTGTAGCTGCTGCACAATAGCCAGAGATAAGCAAGGATTTTGAACAGCTTTGCTTTTGGGAACCCCATTCTGTTTCCACCATCTCTTGAGGGAAACACAGCAAAGCCAGTGCAATTTTACCCTTCAGAGAGCACTTTCAAACTATGTGGTGTTCATTTCCACTTTCCTTCTCCATGTGATGAGAGCAGCAGTGAGTCAGAGTGGCCCTGAACTTGGTTTGCGCATGACCTGAGAGTCAAAGACCTGGTGTTTAACTATTGGTTGCCACTAGCACAGCTCTTGACTTCCATGAGTGAGAGAGAACATCAGAACAAGGACAGACCTCCCCTGTTGATGTTGTTTCCTTCATGTTTACTGGAAATAAGGGGCAGATTAGTTTTGTAGTTTGTCTCACAGAGCTGATGCCTGCTCTGTGTTTCCTTAAAGTCACTCCATAACGAGATTGCATATGTGGGAGGTTTTCAAAACTCCCTGATTTGGAGAGATCTTGATGAGCTGTATGTGGACCCCTTCAAGCTCCCAACAACAATCTGGCTTCAGCTTCTCCCTTTCCTTTAGAAGCCAATGCATTTCCTGAGGGTGTCTACACTGCAGTGCAGGGGAATGCATGAGCTGGTATCAAAACCATGTAGGCAAGGTCTAAAGTACCTGGTACTTTGGTGAGCTATGGACTGTTTGAGAACTTGTACTATGAGGAGCTTTCTGCTCCATCTTCCAGC